CTGCTGCCGATGAAGCAGAACTCCTTTGTCCTTGAAAGTAGATCGGCTGACATAACGTGCTGAGCTTCAGAGGCTCTTTCGCTGTGAAATAGGCCTGACACGAGCAGGCTGCCTGAGCCGAGCTGGCCGATCAATCGGGCATACGCCAGCCCCTCGCGCTGCTCAAACCGTTCCCCTTGAATTACAGTGCAAATCGCAGAACCCACGCTGCATACCCATCCATCACTTGAAGGCGTTTTAATGCAGCTCAAGGTATTTCAAACGCTGCTAGGAACATTAATTTCTAACAAATAGAAATATAAAAGTAATGTAGTGTAGGCAGCTACAACAGCAAACCGGGTCAGACTTTAGGCAAACCTAATTAATACCTCGGGTTCCGTTTTCCCGTCCCATGAATCACACCTAGCTCTTTGCACGGAGAAAGGTTTCTTTGTACGTGGAGAAAAGCCTTTTTAACATCACCAGCAAAACCTGTATTTTTACCAGTCCTTTCAAAAATCAAGGGGCCAAGCTAAACCTAAAAGAAATGGGCTGGGGGTTTTTTTGCAAGACTGTGGGGAAGGGCCGTCTCTCCCACCTACCGTGCCGAGGCTGTGGCCGGGCGGTCGGGGGGAGCAGCACGCCCCTCTGCAGCCCCGTGCCACTGGGATCACACCCACGCCGTGAGCGGCGATGACGCGTCGGTGTCACCTACGCACGAAATCTCATCGCTCCGAGCGGCGTCGCTGCGAAACCCGTTAGTGGCAGGAAAGGGCCGTACGTGTGTACGACACCGCGCGCCTGGCGGAGGAAAGCGGGGAACGTGTTACATGACACCGATACAAAACACCATCCTGTTTTACGTCCATTTTGCGGTGAGACTGCCCGGCGCGTTGACCCCCCCCATCCCTGCTGAGCCTGCGAGCGAGGCTTCGAACAGTGGAACGGCGGGACCGAAGGGCCGTTCCGTTGTGGGGGAGCGTAAGTCCTGGTGCTGCTGGAGCCGAAGCCCTCCCTCCCCACAGGACTGTGCCATCGAAACAGCTGATTAAGAAAAAGGGACGTAAGCAAGAAGAGAGCCTGGAATAACGCAGCCCCAAATTCTGAGCGCTCTCTGGAGGGATTTGAACGTTTAGTTTCCCTCAGGCTCCGGCCACCAGCAATGCTGACCCGCACATGGTGCATGCGGGGGCTCGGCTCAGCTCCTGGGGTACCGACGGGCAGGGGTGCGGGACCCGAGGAGCATCACCTTGACCCCTGAGCCGGCTCTCCCGGCTTTAGAGTTACGCAGAAATACAGTGCAAGCAAGCAAGCGTAGGCATGGAAATTTCCACCATCCACCTGCCAGTTTCCAAACACGAGTAATGCTCAAAAGATTAATGATGCCAGTCACCTGCAGCATGAGCCGTGGGCTGGCAGGGGGAAGGGGCAAAGCTCTTACTCTTTATAACACACAGGGCACCTGCACAACAGCGTAGTGCACTGTGCCTGCGAGCAACCCCTCTTTCACCAGAAGTCCCCTCCATGGGGTTCAAGGGCTTTTCCAACCCGCAGCGGAAATGGGTGGAGCAGGGCGACGGAGAGCTCTGCCAGGCCTCCGGCCGCAGAGCCACCTCTGCCAGCACCCCCGGGTACGCATAAACACCGCTGGTCTTGGGCTTCCGCATGCTCCAGGTAACCCCGAATCCCCACTCGGCCCCAGCAGCGCAGCTCGGAGATAACGCACCGAACTGCGGAAGGGGCAGATGCCCAGCAGCGGCCGTAAACAAAAGGAGTTTAACTGCTTTTATGGGTTTTTTGCTTGTTTTTATTCCTTTTAAGCTACCTTTTCTAGTAGTGACCCAAGTAAGACCATGCTTCTCTCTTTGCAGTGTTTGGCCACTCTTATCATCATGCTCGTTGGAGACACATACACACTCATCAACTACGTGTCGTTTATTAACTACCTCTGCTACGGAGTGACAATTATAGGCCTGATCGTGTTACGCTGGAAGAAACCCAAAATCTTCAGACCTATTAAGGTGACAATGTTAAAGCTAAATCTCTTGGTGGCAATAGCAATGCAAAGGGCAGGACGGGCACACCAAGCCCTCCAGCCTCCCATTTTGAAGAACGGTTTATTTTTGGATGTAGTGGTAAGTCCAAAGTGCCCTTAGTGTAAAAACAGGATGCAAAGGCAGGCAGACCCCTTGCTGCGACGGGCAGAGAGGATGACGGCGGTGGAGGGAAGGGGGGCACGACCCACTGAGGGTGCTGAAGCCCC